TTTTAGCTGTTTTGACGGCTAGAAGTATGGTTTTCAAAGTTCGTCGATTGTGCCCTGAGGGCATACTGTTTTTTGGGATTTGTGGCCCCCCTGATGGATTCCCCGCATTTTGGCACTAGGATTTTCGATAGAGGACACCATTCTGCACCTCTCCACCAAAATTCAGCGAAATCGTAGGGGCCGTCGATCCCTGCTGAATCCCTGCTGAACCCCTGCTGAATCCCTGCTAACTTCCGTTACATTATTTTTGTAGGGGTTTCAGATATTTATAGAGTTCAGTGGGTTGTTTCTGAGGAGATGTGGAGATGTGAATTATTAATTAATCACACTTTATTAGTATATAGGGCCTTGCACTTTATCATCTGGATTAAAAAAAAAAAAAACGTTTCCTGCTGAGTGCAGAAAGGTAGGTAGGTGCATCGCTAGGTTCTATCACCAGGATTGGAGCAGTTATGAGTTGTTGCAGTTGGAAGTCAAAGTTGGCTGTTCATGTTTAGGCCCTGTTCTTTATTTGGCCATCTACCCCATATTGCAGTTGTGATGACAATTGACAAGCAGTTTTCAGTGTAGTTTTGTGATCTTTGATGTCATCAGTTGGTGTCATTATTTTTCATCAACTAAAACTTATTTGAACTTTCCATTCAATCGACTCAATCATACGAGTCACTCTAATTTTCGGGAATCAAATCAGTCAACCAGTCGCTAAAGTCAAACGAGTCAGTCAACCAGTCATCTCGAAAAGTCAATCGACTCAATCCAATCAACTCAAAATACGCGTTGAAACAAATCAATCAATTCAATCGACTTGATTGGTATACAACCCTGATTCACACATAACACAATACACATTACCTATGCATTAGCGCCCTGAGCTCTTAAACACGAACAAGTAAGTAGCAGATTAGGCAACTATTAGCAACTGAGCTCCTGCCGCATCGTACTTTAAGGACTACATATAGCCGGTACAATTGTGTTACCAGCGACCAAATGTCAAAGTGGACACTGGTCAGGTGCTCGGTAACTGGTGACTGGTGAGCCAGTTTGCTTTCTGTCCTATCTTACGACTAATTCACCATCATCCTTGCTTGCACTTCTCCGTGTTCCGGATTAACGGTCCGCCTAGCAGACAACCGATGGAAGTCAGCTTCGGAGTGACCATTTCAACAAATGTATGCTCTAGTCTGTCCCGTTGTGACTTGCCGTCAAAACAGTATGTCCCGACGCTGAAATGCCGTCCCAGCGGTACAGCGGACTAGTCGTCAGTGGTTGATTGAACCGATTGAGCCTTGGTTGATTGAACCTTACATTGCCCTCTCCCTCTCGTGTTTTATCATCCCAGCATAGCCTGACTCAGAGCATTGCAGCCATTATGGTGTCTTTTGACTGAGACGCTGCGGCACACAGCCGGTGCCCGATGGTCGACTTTATTCTGATATTGCTCTCTCCCCGCTAATTCATTTATTCATCATACCACGGCCCTAAAATGTTCTCGAATAGACTAACCCATAGGCTCTAACCAAGCATAACGAACAACTACCCACTTAGCAGTCTCCGAACGTCTGCTGTTAAAATTAGTAGCCAGTAGGTGAAACCGAAACCGACGAGTGGCCACGTCAAGCGGTCCCTCAGTGCCCCAAAGGTGGTCACTTTCGGGGTAGAACTTGTCACAACTCAGCCTATCCTACCGGACTGCCGTGGGCTCCTCTCTTACCGCGCGGCGAAGACTGTGAATATCGTGCGCTGGTAGTATTACATACAGCTCGCATCCCAAATAAACAGTTACTGCCGGCGAAGGCCCAACCATTCACCGCACTATGGTGCAGGTCCGGTGACTTTCCTGCCGCCCGTGTCACCGCGACCAACGGCGGCGACAGTGCCGTCGCCTGTCACCGTCCCCTCGAGACCCGGCGCGCGGCCAGCGAGTGATGCCGTCTGTATTTGTTTGTTTGTTTGTTTTGTTGGGTTAGGCTCTTTCGGTCCGACAAGACCATTTCAGAGCCGGAAGGATGATAGGAATTAGGGGGTGACATTGGTCTGGGCAGGCACCCTAGTGAGTCACCGGGGCTGATCCCGTCCAGAGAACAGGCCACCCATCCCCAAAGTACTCACTACTCACTGCACCCGGCTACGGTGTGAGCTCCCTCGGGAGCCGCGGTGCCGCTCCAAGGGAGCAGCCCGCATGAGATAAAGTTGCCTGTCCAGCCCGGAGGGGGTTTCGGCGTGGAGGAGAAGGATTTCAGTATCCTGAGGATGGAAGCACGGAACGGGTGCCGTCTGTACCGGAACAGCGCACTATCTGTACCCGAACAGGTGCGTCTATGTAGGTGGAATAGGCATACTACCAAACTGAACTGCCGCATGCGAGAGATGGCTAGTCAACCAGGACTCGTGAGTCTGCGGTGTTTTAATACAGGATCACATGCAAGAGCCCGGTCACCGGCACAGATTGACTGTCAACTAGTCCGTGATATGACCCGTGCTGTAGCTAGCTCACGTTCGGGCCCTGCTCGGCGCACTTGTCGAGGCCAATGACGAGACCGACTTTTACGTCGGTCCTTCTCCGCCGCGCCAACCGAGTTAATAAAATACCTTTCACCATTGTTTTCATACATAATCCTATTATTTGACTCATGTGCCGTACACACTTTGCCTCTGTTGCCGCTCAGCCGTTTCAAGCGTCACAGGCACTAAATGAAGAGCTCTTTGCTAACTGACGGTGAACTGGGCTGGTGCGCGATAGGCACTGGTGTACACAATGCACTTTAGTTTTTAGGGTATTTCTATTACTTTGCTCAAAAGCAATGGCCATTTGTGACCCAGACAAACATACAGTGATCATAGAACAGGAGACATGAGAACAGCACGAAAACATAGCGTAGGAGAAAAGTGCATAGATGCGGTTTGATACTGTTAATGATAATGATACAGATATGGGCATTCAAAGTCCATTCAAGCCTTCCAACGCATGTAACGCTCTCCTATACACACCAAGGTATAAGATAGGTTTCGATCTGCCCCAGACAGAACAGGACCTAGGCCGAGAGCCGAGAGCAAAACTAGGGCAAAATAGGCACATGTCATGTGTAGCTAAAACTCCACACTCCCTGTATGTTTTGTTATTTTATACTATGAAGTATGTCAAAGGAACCTCTAACTGTCATTTGAAGTTGTTAAACTAGACGTCTGAAACAAATTATTATGGGCAATTAAGAAAAACAAACGCTATTGAGTGAGTAAGATCAGCATCAGACACCACAAACTGTGTTAAAACGCCATACCGACGCTAGCGCCACCTACAATTCTAGATGTCGCTAGTAGGTTATCCCATAGGAGCCCGTGTTACGGCGAAATGGTCTCAAAGAAGTGGGCGCGGACCAGAGAATACTGACCGCAGGACACCGATTTTGTGTTTTTCTTACTTACAAGAATATAGCGCCACTTTATCTGACAGTTTCCTCTCAATCTGGAATAAAAACCCTCAAATCGATACACTCTAGTGCACAGAGCTATGCTGGACGCTGTGCCAAACTTTTGGCTTTATCTGCACATTGTGTCAGACACATTGAATGTTGAATGTTGATGGTGGGTAACATGGATTTTTCCAGTCTGGTGAATGGCCCAGCCTGAGCCAGCCTGCAATGCTATTGAGTAGCTTATATCTCAGCAACCCATGGGCCATGGGCCAAATGACCTGCAATGACAACCCACTACCCAGTTATTTTTGTTGGGCAGTGCCAGACTCCGCACAGCACTTCAGCGGCAATGAGTGATTAACTGTGTTCTCAATTCTGCTCAAACTTGGTTAACATTTTTAAATTAGTGAATAGTGCCTGTACAAAAAAAAAATGCCAGTGTCAAAAAGTAGGGAACCAAAATCCATCAGGAAGGAATGAAAAAAGCATTGACATGACAGGTGCTGGAGCCTGGGCCCTGTTTCACCGGAGATAGCAGCTTGATAGCAGCATGCTGCTATTACACGTGTCAAATTGGGTTTCCATGAGGGGTGTTCACGGGCACCACACACTGCTGCGTGCGGTGTGTGCGGTGCGTCCAGCAGGCGTGGGGGTAGGGGATGGGTAGGCGGCTCTGACGTCACGGCTGCGTGCGGTGGACGGTCCACTGTGGCCAGTCCCGACCAGCCACAGCGGTCGCTGTGTGCGGTGACGGAATGCTGACGTAGGGACGCAGTGGGCGGAGCTTGGAGGCTGTGTGCGGTCCGACCGCACACAGGGCCCGTGAACAGCCCTATGGATACGTCAACAAGCCTATTCCTCCATCACTACCAGAAGTGTGACGTCAGCTCACGAAATGGAATAGCCCTGGGTTCACTCGATATACCCTGGGAATAGCAGCGTGCTGCTATCACATCACCATGATCACCGGTGAAACAGGGCCTGGAGGCGCAGGGCTTCAGCAACAACCACCGCAAAGTTTGCGGTGGCGCAAACATACCTCAACCTACCTACTTAATGCCTTTAGCAATACAAACGGAATGGATTAATTTGCACATCATTCGAAGGATAGATTTATAGCAATTATTGAAATATCAGGTCATAATGATAAAATCATAAACATAAGCACATTATCCCAATTACTGACGAACCCAACCCTTTTCAAGGTATACCCTTTTCATCCACACACAAACAATCATCCACGGTGCAATCATCACCACGCCACAACAACAAACGAAACAAAACCGCCAAACCGTATTTCAATAGTTAAAATACTGAGTTTGAAATATCAAGAGACAAATTACGTCATAAATAAATTGAAAAACGAACTTTAATCGCTGTTGAATTTTACCAAATGAACTTCAAAACAAGTGATATGGCTTTTAAAAAGTTATGAATATGTGTATTGATTACGCATGTTGGCTTCATTTTCTCTAAATCAGTAAATATTAAATTGAGTTCAGTCAAATCACAGTTTTTTGTTTGACGTCATTTATTTGTATAGCCTATTGTGTCACACACATGCACATACTGATACTGATGGTATCAGTATTGTTGGGTATTGATATTTAAAAAAGCAAATACATATAGCTCAACATAGCTTGTCTTATGTCTAGTTGGTCTAGTTCATGAGTTTACTGAAGGTGTATATAAAAGTATGTACAAATTAATCGTTCAGTGTTGCATATTCTGAGCCTTGAATAGGTAATGCTCTGTTTAAGTACCTAGGTACCTAGGTATTTTTTGTTTCTTGTCATTAATTTTGTTTGCTAGACTTCTTAAGCTCTCAATATTCTGCTGGCTGAATCAAACAGTTCTTTGGTGCATAAGTGTCCTAAAAGCTTGCGAACATTTTCCATCCCCACCTCAAGCATCCAGCTTTATATTGATAGCTTCTCGGTTGCAGATGTTTGTGCCCTGTGGACGAGTCACATGGGCACGGGGATGCCAGCAGCTGACTTATGCCCGGCTGCTGCATGCCTGCCATCCCAGGCACATCAGGGTGCCACTGCCGACCTCTGCTGTGGCGTGTGTTGATGTCTCGCGTCTGGCTATTCAATGGTCAGGAGTACGGTCAATCACACTCTCAGCACCTGATTATGCCAAGGGCAAGGATAAGAAGAAAGAAAAAAGTAAGTTGAAAGGCAGAAATATGAAGGATTCAGGTCCACCAGATATCCAGCAAATAGGTCAAATCTAGTAGGATGAAGTGTAGCTGATTGCTGTTACCAGTCTCAACACCTTGCTTTATATCAGTTGCAGAGTGCCTGTGCCATCGTGCCCACCGCGCCCTGGCGCCCGTACCGCTGCGTTCACCGCGCCCCGGCGTCCCTCTCGTGCTCACCGCGCCCCGGTACCCCGTGCCGTCGTGCTCACCGCGCCCCGGTACCCCGTGCCGTCGTGCTCACCGCGCCCCGGTACCCGTGCCGTCGAGCTCACCGCGCCCCGGTACCCGTGCCGTCGAGCTCACCGCGCCCCGGTACCCGTGCCGTCGAGCTCACCGCGCCCCGGTACCCGTGCCGTCGAGCTCACCGCGCCCCGGTACCCGTGCCGTCGAGCTCACCGCGCTCCGGTACCCGGGCCGTTGCGTTCACCGCGCCCCGGTACCCCCTGCCGCCAGAGAAGGGTGCGGTGAAGGTGGACGAGTCGGAGATGGCCGAGCTGATGGACGTGGAGGCATTCCGCGGCCGGCTGGACGCCGTCCTCGACCGGCTCCGGGACGGCTTCATCAAACAGTTCTCCGTGCGCACATCCATCGGTGAGCTGAACACCGTACAGACTGGTCGGAGGTCGCGGTAAGAGTAAGATTGTTCATTTTTTATATAAAAAAGTGACGAACGTAGTCCGTTTTTTTTTTTGTTGGTTGGAACTTGTTTTGAAATCATTGAGCGCTATCTTAAGATTAAGATCGAAAAAAAAAATCCAGGAAGTCGGGATAATTCAGCAGTGACCGTTAAAGCGCCCCTTTTCCGCTTATGCAGTGGACATCGCCTCCTCGCCCTCTAACTCCAGGTGGCTGATATAGCTGTACCGGTGCTCCCTTAACATTATTTGGGCAGTGTTAATCACCTTTGTTATGCAGATGACATGGTACTGCTATCGCCAACGCCCCAAGGACTGCAAAAATTGCTTGACATTTGTGCTAGATATGCCGATGCACATGATATTGTTTTCAATGTTAAAAAGACGGTATGCATGGCTATTCTGCCCAATTTGTTTAAAAATATGTCTTTACCAGATATAGTTTTGAATGGTACTGTGCTTCCTTATGTGAATAGGTATAAATATCTTGGCTTTGAAGTGAGCAATGTTCCAACAAAATCTGATGATCTGGAGGTGCAGCACCATTATCGCCTTCTGTGTTGTCGAGCCAATTCGCTGATCAGAAAGTTCTCTCTCTGTACATATCAGGTGAAGAAGTATTTGTATTCCATGTATTGCTCGAATGTTTCTGGTGTTCATCTTTGGCATTCTCATCGTGCTGCTGTTCTGCGTAAATTCATAGTTTGTTTCAATAACGCTGCTAGAATGTTCTTTGGTTATGACCGCTTTAGTAGTGCCTCATCTATGTATGTGAATGAGCGCATTGATAACTTCTGGGCTAT